AGGTGTACTTGAGGTCTCTAACCAATGTGGCGAGGAGATATCCTTGCTTGTTTTCCTCCCTTTCAGCATACCACCAAGGAGACAAAGTTCTGGACACGGGGTTGAAGTGTGAGGATCACAAACACTCAATCAACCGTACGCAGTGTCGGAGGCTACTCCCATCCGCCGACAACACAACGAACTGGATGCTCGATTGGCAGAGCCATATTCATCCTGTTGAACTGAACTGAACTGAACTGGACTGGAATTTGAAGGGCGGTTGAGGGCGCGCTGTTTGATTTGGGCGTTACATTGAAATATTCAGTCCGTTCGAAGTCATGGCTTTAAAACAAGCCGTTGCGAAAAGTACCTTTTGGTTGTCTGTGATATTTGTGCTTGCAGAGGTTATGGAGGAGATTATACTCCCTTTGAAAAAGGCGAAGGATTGGAAAGTTTTGGTATTGGATCGCCTTGCTACGCGTATCGTTTCTTCCTGTTGCAAGATGCATGAGATCATGAACAATGGGATAACACGTATGTTATTTTTGTTTTTCTGGTTATATACCTTCAGTGGTTGAGGATATTACCAAAAGACGAGAGGTTTTACCAATTGAGGCAATCTATTTGATTACACCAACTGAACAGGTAATGATCATCCGCTTGTATATTTCCTGTAGTCAATACAATTACTCATGGACGATTTCCAAGGCGCGCATAATCAGTACAGATTCGCTCACGTTTTCTTCACAGAAGGTGAGTTGTAGTTTTTGGCCATTGCGTTGCGTTGGTGAGATCCGCTCGTCAAGTCTAGGGTTAACAGTTGTTGCATTTCGGTGTATTTTACCCAATATATACAATTCTTCTTTTAGAAAAATAACTACTGCTGTGGGAAAATCTTTTCAATATGTTTCTATTCTTATGTCCCCAACGATGAGATTCTTCGTTTTTATCTGGAATAAAGACAGACCACTCAGTATTAGCCTCATCTCCACCGTCACCGGCAAAATCCCGTTTGTTAGATTGTAGTGTAGGCGTGGTCCCATCGCAGGTAATACGGCTATGTTGTAAACCAACGTTCTTACAAATCAGAATGAGACACTTCAAGAAACGTACGCGATTTCAGGGTGAGTTAACCTGCAGAGCCAAAACAAGTGTAAGCAAAGGTGCGAAAAGTGAAAGCAAGCGCGCTGACCAAAGAAGTGGCCCTGGAGCTGAGAAACAATGAGATGCAAGAGAGGATGCAGACGGAAAGACAGTATCACTTCAGTAGTTTGAATCGCCTCTCGCTCTGTTCCACCACACAGTATCAGTGCCTTCTGGAAAAACAACGTTTCGAGGAAAGCCATGCTGCATCCAGTGTGAGTCTGTGGCCACTCATCCGGTTGCATTCACGTAGTGCAAACTCAGCACATGTTTTTCCCTGATAACCACGACAGATCTTCCACAGGCCAAGTCAGTGCAGGTTACACAGGATGAATTGTGATCACATCCAATCAAGCGTCTAGAATTCCTTCGATGATATGCTCACGAATACCGGTCCATCCCTGCGACTGCTCGGTTCCTTCTATCTGCAAATAGAGAAAGGGAGGGATTATTGATATGTACGGTTTTCATATTTTGCAGAACAATTTTTGAACCTAAACTATCTGTGAACACCATGTCACCATGCATCCAATGTTGTTCTAAAGGCTGGGACATTCGGTAGTTTGATCATATCCGCCAGTGGCTTTTCGATCTATTTACTACCATGTTATTGAAAGAGTGCATTCGCAAGTCCATCCTGCTTCATGAGTTTGAGCTCACGAATGTGTTCCCTAATGGGAAGCCTCAATGTACAAGACCCCATCTTTCATCAATATTGTATACTTCTACGAGGTCCTCGCGTATCCTCTTTTCTAGTGAAACCGAGGCCGAGCGCGCACAACCTTTAAGATTTATCTTGCAGGCACTCAACCATGTGTTGCTAATCTCTGAGCCTTCTTCAGACAAACTGCTTCCTTGTAGAAGGGTAGCCAAGCCTAAAAACAACAGTCAAGCGGAGGCCTAATGATGGTCTTGTAAATAAGAGCACGAGCTCGCTATCGCATCGAATTCAACTCGAAAGGCACTGTTGGTTAGGGCGTTTTACGTATGTCTAACAGTCGCTTACCTCACCGCGCCTTATTTGCAGTGTCGACTGCGAACTGGAGAAAGCCACGTGGGTGCCAGATGACGTGAGAATGAGGCATGAAACCCTGACAGAAAAGGTTATATTTGTCAATAATTATTCCACCCATTGGTATGATGTTCCTATTATTATTAAAAAACCTATCTTATGTAGCAGTAGTCTGTGACTCGCTAGATCAAAAGCTCTACTAAAGTAACGGATCTTTACGCCCTCCCTTCTGCATGACCTCGTCCAATTATCATAACAAATTATTTAAGCAAGACCTATTTTTCTTGAAATCATTTTGACCATTTAGTAGCGCGTGAGAGAGAGATGGTTACAGATATGAACTGATTAGTTTTTACGTGCTCTTGCATGTGACACTAATCAGACTGACTGGTCTGTAGTGCGGCCCTTGTGCAAAACCCCTACAAAGGTATGTTTCCAGCCGACCAGGAGCACGCCGTCCTCCAGTCATTTTAAAACTGTACCCCTAAGGGTCTCTTGAAATTTAGGCTAGTAGTTTCAAAATGACATCATCCAAATCGCCGTATTACAAGATACAGTGGGGCAAACTTAATTAATCGCTGTCAAGCTCGCAATGTATAAAAAAAGTGAGAAAGTAAAAGATGAGTAGAGATTGCCCTTAATTACAGAGTGGCAAAGAAAGTGAACTTTTATGGTTAACATAGAGTACACAACCTAACTGTGCTTACACTTTATCAAACATTCTGACGTGATAAAAATGACAAGAACAGTTCTGCTGTTGGGTTGTCTCCAACCAACCAGTTATGAAGTCTATTGAACCTTAACATGGAAGACGGGAGACATTTACTCGACCTAATCTTGATGTACATTTCTTCATGCCTCGTCCCCACATCATTTGTTAAACTCCACGTGGTTTCCTCTAACCCGGAGCCGCAACTACGATTAAGGCGCGGTGCGGTAGACAACTGAGCATGCGCAAAGTGTATCCTAACTAGCGAAGCCTGCTCATCTGAATTCTGTATGATAACCAATTCTTCACCTTTTCATTACCAAATATGCGATGGCCTACGTCAGAGTCGCTTACACGCTCACGCCATCCGACCCGTGCCAAACTACGTGAACATCGGCATTCAACGACTTCTATACGATAAATATCTTCCACGCACAAGTTAAAGGGTCTCGCAACCGTAAAGCAGAACTGATCGCACATCGGCGCAGTGTACGTGACCTTTCGATTGCAGCGAAACCACTTCTACACTAAAAGTGTCTCAGTCCTGCGCGTGCTTTGGAGATGCGGGCGGTTACTTCCTTGACTACACTAACGTCATATGTCGCGCAACTACCTACTTAGGAGAAACAATCCACTATCACTAGTTCTTGATCATTAAGCATCAGGGCCGGGGTAGACGACATCCGATCTTGTAGCATCACTTTCCACTTTGAAGGTGCAAAGCGCATACCAAATGGAGTTACAGAACTTGAAAGTCTGTCAAGGGTGTTTTGCTCATCCTCCATACATTCGAACAATAGCCCACAACGCGTACAATGATGAGTTTGTCGTATCTTACGTTTCTCTAGTCTCAAGTTTCTTTACTCAGCGAAAAACATTCCACACCATACTCAATTCATGTATCCCCAGCCCTCCAGCCTTTCATCTTCACCTTCCTCACATCCCATCGGGTTATTTAGACGATTGTACTAACACTAGCGCCTCAGGTGGAAACTCTGCCGCTGTTCTCTCGTGTCCCATGTCGACTCACGTCCAAATCCCACCAAATTCTCCGCCAACTGAAGCCCTTCTTCACCGTCGATGCCCATTCAAACTAGTCACATTCAATATATGTACTTTAATGCCTGTTTAGTTCGTACGCTCGGGACCCTAGCCATCGATGTGTGTTGTATCAAAGAGACTCGCATTCAAGACTGCAGCTTCATTATTCGATTGATATCCCCATCAAACCCATTAGTGAAGTTTCACTTCTATGGAGACCCTGAGGCTGCCGCTTCCGCTCTTGCTAACGTTGGTGTGGCTCTCCGTGAGAGAGCTGAAGCCGAGCTACTGGATTGAATCCCAGTCGATATAAGGTTGTGCGCAGTGAGACTCAGATGTTTGTGCAAAGTAAGCAGCCGTCGCCCCGATAGACGAAACTTGCTAGTCTTGTCGGCGTACACCCCAACGGACTGTAGCCCACATGCAGTCAAAGATGAATTTAACCATAATGTACACAAACTCCTGCGTAAAGCGAGTCAGACTGATATCGGGATTTAAGCAGGAGATATGAATGATAAAGTAGGTCAGCTGACTTCGAATTAGGCGCACCTGGGAGGTCCTTTCGGACCAGATTCCTGTCGCTCGGAAAGCGGGGAACGGCTGTTGGCTCTGTGTTCCGACCACCGCCTTTTCCTTGCGAGTAAGAACTAGAGACGCTCTAACTACCGGTACACCAATTGGTGTCCGCTCCCCTCGAGTTAGAGACAGACAGGTAGACCACATCGCTATAAGCCACAAATGGCGGGGTTGCATGCAAGACTGCCGATCGTACTGGAACACTCCTTTCAAATCCGACCACGCGTTAGTTTGCGCCAAGCTGTCCATGTGCTTCGGGGGCTTTCTAAACGTACGACAGAACGACGTTTAGACGGTGATCAATTGTCTGAACCAGCACGCCCAAGTGTCTTTCAGAACGCTCTAGATGAAAAGCTAGAACCAACCCCACCCGATAACATTAACCAGCACTGGTTGCTTATCTGCATTCTACTGGCTTAGTTATTTGTGGTCTGACACGCCGTGCCGCTGCACCGTGGAATTCTGCGAAATCTCTACGCCTTCTCGACGTACGCCGATCAATCCCAACCGGCAGTCTATGCCTGCCCATCGGCTACCTTTCCGGCTCTCTTTGCACTCGTCGCGACGGTCAGACCATGACACTGTAGAGGTATGAAGAAGCTGGCTTCGGTTGGTGCAGCCCGCCTTCCAGGTTCGGGCCCAAGGGATGAGGATTGTCGTTGGTTAGAGACGCTGAGAGATATGGCTTAGAATATAATTACGCCTGTTGAAATCCCGTGCCCAATAAAAAACGATGAATTCGCAAAAATATCGAAAAATGTACGGTGAAACAAAAAATTGTTCTTCTCGTTTTTAGACTTGACTACATTACATTGCTTTATATCCCACCTCCCCATTTTCTGTTATTATCGTTACGTTGACACCAAGCTTGCTTGCAAGCTTTTTCGGTTGTTGCTTGACTTTCGTAGCCAGCCTCAATTCATACTTTCTGTTTTCTGCTCTTATAAGACCGACCACCATATTTCTCTGGACGGTATAATTATTCCTTAACAGTGGGGTGTTTGCATATCTGTAGTGTCCCCAGTTTCTGTTTCTTTTCCTCAGTGCTCTGTTTATTGCAGGGCACTACCTTGGAAGCTTATAACAACATTTCCCAAGTTTTAGCGGCGCGAACTCGTCTTGGAGTTCCTGTGAATTGTTTATAACCTACCAAAGATCCTTCACGGCGACTTGGTCTCAACTTCCCACTGTGGTGCAATTGCTCTTGCTTGCAGGCTTTCCTTGTCCAGGTTGCTAAACTTTCTGCTTTTCCGGCTGGGTACTTGAGGTTCTCTGCAATCGAGTGTCACCTTCGTCAGCTGATGAGCACTCCGATCAGTGGGTGATGTGATGCCTTGTACTTCCTCTTGGTATTTAGTAAACACTGAATCTGGAAGTAACGGTTTTTATCCATCCCTGAATCTAGTGTTTCATCCACATGTAGGAGGAATCTGAAATGAACCTGTTCCAGGAATTTTCCCTCTAGTGTCCCATGAAGGTGTTTCAGTGTACCACTGGATTTCTGGTTAATTAAAATCTATCCTTTTACTGGGACTGTGCTAATACGTCAAACACTCCGATTAATTGATCGTCTTCGTCCATGGTGGCTCCGGGACTCCTGTACACTCTGGCTATGGTATTTTTTTAGTTTAGACTACATATTTCAATAATAAGAATGTAACCTTTCCTTCGATTTCTGGTTAATTGACCCGAGTATAGTTTGAGTATGAGTTTGAGGATAGTTTGAATGCTAGTGTGTCCATGTTTGGTATGCGTTTTGCACCTTCAAATTGCAAAATTTTACTTCAAAACTGGGTTGGTTCAGCATCCAGCCTCACTCTAACTTGGGAAGTAATAGAGCAAGTGGACAAGTTTTGTTACTTGGGCAGCTACATCTCACCCGATGGACACATCACGGATGCAGTGTCAGCTCGCATACCGAAGGCTCGATTGGAATTTGCCAACTTGAGACATCTGTGGCGCCGTCGCGACATCTGGCTGTCTGTGAAGGGTCGAGTATATGCTGCGGCAGTTCGGCCAGTTTTGGTATACGGCGCAGAAACTTGGCCATTAAGAAAACAGGATAAAGATAGATTGCGTTGTTTAGGGTATGTATGCGTTTATAACACCAATCCTAC